CTTTACATGATAATAAGAACTATTAAAAATAAGAATTTTTTAATTAAAATAATATCATCATGCTATTTATTTCTTAGTTCCCTCAATATAATTTTATGATTATTTCTTTTGCAATTTTAAATTATAATAATTATTAAAGATACTAAGTATCCAATAGAAAGAATAGTAGAAATTATTTCTCTTATTCCTAGCTTAGAATTAGAAGCTAAATACAATAAAACTTTAAATATTAGATCCCAACTATTAGCATGGACCAATTGAAGTAAACCTTTTTTATTAAAAATACTATTTATTTTAGAAATACTTTTATTGAGATAATAAAATTTAATCCCAATAATTTAAATAATTTTATAATTCATGAGTCTAATATAATAGATAAATTTATTGCCAAAGCAATAAGTGTAGACAAATTTAATATAGTATTTTATAAATATGTACAATATTAACAGGAATCCAATTTAAGTAAATTAACCATAGATATTAACTAATAAATCAGCGTTTAATTGATATTCAGAAAGTCTTCCAATACTCTTAACATATTGATCACCTATTAATTAGTAAAAAAAATCAGTAACTTTTAATTTAATCAATACTGGATTAATAGTTACAATTTCTGATGATTCAAAATATATTAAAACATTTAATGGAAAATCCACATTTACAATGATAATTAACTATATGTATTTTAGATATGATTGAAATTATAAAGTATCTAAAATTTCCATACATTAACTAGGATTTCCAGTTAATATAAGAAAGAAACTACTACTAGCTAATCCTATCATCATCCAATTACCAAGAGCTTAGAATTTATTGGCTGTTTGTAATTAATTCTAGTTTAAGATTTTTGGGAGTTATAAATTGATAGTTTATTGAGTAGTATTTACTTTATTTTTATATTAGTCTTCTAAATTAGCATTAATTTCTACAGCTAAATAAAATTTAGTTGAAATAGATTCCAAAATTTGAATTTATAAAATATAAATAACATCAAGTAAAATAGTTTAATCAATTTCAATTACAGGAATTATAGTAATAATGTATATATCTTATTAAATAGATGGAATAGATGGATGAATTGAATTAGTAAAATTCAAAATAGTTTCATTTAATTTAACTTTATTAGAAATGATAATTAAACGTATTAAATTTATTAAGTATAATTAAGATATTACAATTTAAAAACAGTATTATATGAACAAAAACTTGATTATCTAGGTTAATTATTACAAAACCAGTTTGGTTCAATTAGACATAAACTAGAACAACCATCTCCATCAAATTCATTACCATCATCACATTTTTCATTATCAGTATAAATAGCATCTCCACATTTATTTGACACTTCTTATTCCTCTTCATCAAAATTATGAGTGTAATTTTCAACTTCACATATATCCTTTATAATTGTATATCCTTTAATGCACTCTAAACATATTCCAAAAGTACAAGTTTAACATCCTTCTTCACACTAAAATTAACAATTAAAACAACCATCATAAGGAATATCATTTCCATCTTCACATTCTTCTAATCCAATAACAATATGTTCATCTCCACATATTGGTCTACATTAATTATTATATAATTCGTAGTATTTTTCACAAATATAACATGTATTTTTATCTATACAAGTGTTACAATATGGAATACATTGATATTTGCATTCAAAACATCCATCTCCACTATCATAATTTCCATCATCACATTGTTCGATTGAAGATACAGCTACTTAACCATCTCCACAATATTGATAACAACTATAATCAATAAGCTTCCAACCATCAAAACACTAAATAACATTTATTTTTAACACAATTTAAACATTCCAATTAGCAACTATATTAGCATTTATAACATCCATCAAACTATATATTGTTTAAATCATCACATTATTCTTATTCTAATTCTATTACAATTCCATCATTACAAATAGTAGTACATCTCAATTTATTATTTTCTAATTAATAATTTTCTTCACATTATAAACATTTATTAATAAAACTGATTTTACAATGTTATATTGCTGGTATTATGCATTAATTATAAAAATATCCAAAAATTCCAAAATCTTATAGATTACATGTTAAACTACTGACTAAAGTATATTTAGAATTTTCATTATTAAATAGATTATGTTAGTAATGACCATTCTCAATCAAATTATTTATTCTATTATAACAATTTCTATTTTCTTAATCTTCCTAATTCTCATAATCATCACAAATATATTAACATTTACCATTTATTAATTCATATTTTAATGAACATTATATGCATTTACCAAATTAACATTCACTACAATCCAAAGGACAAGAATATTTACATTAATAACATCCATCATATTGATATGTGTTACCATCATCGCATTCTTCAAAATAATTAATTATTGAATCACCACATATCGGTATACAATTCTTATTCTATATCTTATATTGCCATCCTTCTTAACATTTCAAACATTCACCTCTTACACAATTTGAACAACCTATAACACAGTCATAAATATTAGCAAAACATCCATCAAATGGTTTTATATTATTATCAAAACAATTATCATATGTTTTAAGAAATAATTAAAAATCTCTAATTCCAAAATAAGAACTATAACTTGTTATATACTGAACAACACTACTTTTCAATCTAATTGTTAATGTAATCAAATTTAAGTTATGCATATATTCATGAATATTGATTTGACTAGTGATTAAGTCTTAATAATAATTGTAGGGATTAAGAGAGGGTAGAGATACTTACTTTGCTTTATTTAAATCAATTACTAAGACATCATCAATTAATATTTCAAATTAATGATAAAAATTTAAAGTTATTATTTTAAATTAAATACTAACAGCATCATGAGGTGTTAGATATATTTTTTTACTTTAGGACCAATAGAGTAATTTATAAAAATAAAAATCTAGAATAAATTGTAACAATACCTCCACTATTCACCAAATCATCGTTGAATCCCCCATCGCCAGATGACCATCCATCATTTATATTAACATTGAATTATCTAGTCGTAAAATATTCTATATATAATATTTAATTGTAACATCCATTCTAGTTACAAGAATGGCAACCTATTGGGCATTTTTCTATGAATAATTAAATATCTGAAATTCCCCAAATTCCTTCACCTGATATTAATATTTAAACAGTTGGGCTATAATGAAAGGCATATAAATCCAGTTGAAAAGTTTCATCATAATAAGATGAGTTTCCACAAAGATCATTTAAACTTAAACTATGATAATATTATTAATTATGCTTTTCAATATTATCTATATAAACTTTAAATCGATGTCCATTCCAAAAGTCTATTCTATAAATATCTCTAAATATTAAACCTCCAAAACAAAAATCTAAATCTTAATTAATAATGTGGTTCGAGCTGAAATGTTTTTTGAACGAAAGTTCGAGAGTCAAAACAATCATAACCTCCAATCATCCATTTTGATTAGCAATATGATTCCCAACAGTTAATATAATAGTTTTCATACCAATCTTAAAAGTAAAATCTAAAATTTACCATAAGTGTAGCTATTAATATAATTTTAGTAAATAAGTGTCTCAGACTAGCACTTTATTATAAAATGCAGTAACAATAGGGTGTTTAACATGTTCATCGGATATTATGAAATTATGTACAAATTAAATAATACACTTATGGATTTTATTTAAGGTTTATATAGTAAAGGAAAGTAATAAACTTAATGAAAATGATAAAAGACAGCTGATAAAATAAAATTTAATATACTCAAGATTACTAATTGCTAAATTCAAATTTATTTCAAGAATTTTAATATATCCTAAAAATCAACTTTAAAAAACAAATATTAGTTTTACAAGAAATAAATACACTTTAATATCAATTTTATTTAATAAAGATTTGAAGCAATAATGTTTTTTGAATAATTCATTTTATTAATCTTATATTTTTTATAGTATAATAATTATACTCCAAAAAATTTTTTTAATAAAATTAAAACAAAATTTATCATTAATAATTATTTGATTTAATATTCATAATATTATCTTATTTAATTAAGAAATAATTATAATTTGCCAGATGCTCTAATTAATATACCTAATGAGTTAACTAATTACTTGATTGTTGTGACAGTATTGTTTGAATAATAGATTTTAACAGATTAATAGTTCTTAATCTATTTATTTTTAGATTTATAACTCATTATATTATAAATTAACAATTAGAATATCTTTTTATTGTAATCCTTCTACTTTAGTTATTTGTGAATTAAAAATATTATATAATTT